GAGTAAAGTTTGTGCCAGGGACTATGGAGGGCGGAGATGCATTCAGCAAGGCTCTTCCCAATAATTCAAAGTCAGTTGTTCCTTGAGAGCTTTGTCTGGTGGCTGAGGCTGACTGGAGCAGTTGGCCTTATATCACCTAAGTCTAATCTGGTTGGACTCTGTGATGGGCCTAGAGTTTGTGCTGAAATTCCCTGTGTGGATATTGAGAGAGCCACTTGGACTTCTCATAGCGGTCTTGAGGCCACAGCTCAGCAAACCTCTGCCTCCTCCCCCATAACAACTGGCTCCATGGATCGCCTTTTAAAACCCATTCTTCATCATTGCTATAAGATTTAGGAAATACCAGTTTAGAGATTTTTTTTTTTCATTTGTTTTAAAGATGGTTTTAAAGATGGTCCCATTATGAAGCCCTGACTGAGCTGGAACTCACTGTGTAGACCAGGCTGCTTTTGAGTTTAGAGATCCACCTTCTTCAGCCTTCCAAGTTCTGGGATTAAAGGTACCTCTGTGTTCTGAATTCTTACTTGTTTCTGGCCCTAGGGGTCCATCCTGGGGCCTCATGTGTGTTGGGCGTGTGCTTTACTTCTAAGGAATTCTTGCTGCATTTTGAGATGCTTATGAGGTGGGATCTGCTTATTACTGTGAGAGAGATGAAGTCATGCACTGCATACGATACTTTGGTCAGTGCCAGACCAGACATGCAGTGTGCAGCCTAGGTGTGTGGTATGCTCAGATTGCCTGAGAATACAGCGCTCAGACAGTACCTCCATCTGTACGTGGTACGCACGGACATGGTCGTTGATGTTGTCTGATAATGTGCCTGCAGCCTTTCTGCGGAGGACTGAGCCAGCACCTTACACTTGCTGGGCAAGCCCTCTGCCACTGAGCTAAATGCCCACCCCCAGCTTAGAGAACCTTGAGTACTGTGTTCCGCTCTTGGTGTTTGGCGAGTGCGGTTTGCTTCTGTACTTGGTCATCCGCAGACACTATGGTGCCTCTGTGCTCACGAGCCGGCGTCATGGTGGGGACTGGTGTTGCTGCTGGGAGGGACGCAAGTTAGCCCTGGCGTTCACAAGAAGAGGCTTGCCAATTTCATTGGGTTGGTCAAGTTCCGAAAGATTTCTGATATTTCACTATAACTTTACACAAAGATTGAGACTTATTCACAGGTTACACAGGCAATGGGTGACTGTTGACCTTGATTTCTTACCAACCTACTTGATTTAGGGTTCTTAAACACTTCCACCTCCCTTCCAACCCCCAACACCGGGTAGGAGGAAAGGTTAATGGGGACTGGGGTGGAGTTCTCTCTGCTACTTCCCGCTGGGTAGGGTCAAAGGATCCTTTCGGGGGCAATGCCAGTATCAGTCGTCCAGAAATTCAGAAGCCTGGGTGACCAGCAAACAGCAAACAGCACACGCAGCAGCAGGACGAACCCGCAGCAAGCAGCCCTCCCTCCTCCAAGCAGTCGCGCCTCCTTCCTCTGGGCTGTCACGTTACCCCTCAGAGTCCTCAGAATTCAACCAATTCCACCAGGCAAAGACTATGGTCCATTAACAGGTGTGGACAACTAAAATCCCCAACTTGGAATTTTAACAAAAACATGTTCAAATATCATAAACCAAAATGTCCACAACAGGTGACCCAAGGGGGACATCCTTACCCCTTAGGTTTTTGTTTCGGTTTAAAATTGAGCCTGGGGATTGAACTCAGAGCCTTGGGTATGCTTGGCAAGTTGTATACCACTGGCCACACCAAGCATCCGCTAACCATTTCTGAGAGAAGCTTCTAAGTTCATACTGTGTCAGGTGCGTTTTGGAGAAACTGTGTTAAGAGAAATGGAACTGAGTGTGGTGGTGCACCCCTGTGATCCCATCGTTGTTAGGCCGAGGCAGAAGGATCGTGAGTTCACGACCAGCATGGACTATATAGCACTTCCACTTTCAGGGAGCCGCATATGCGGGAGGACATGCAAATGTTATAAACAAATACATCCTTGTATTTAAGGAATGAGCACTGACATATTTTGGTATTTGTGTGATTGATTAGTAGATAAAGGAGCATCAGAATAATGCTGGAAAGACCTGATAGAAGCTACAAATAAACAGACTCATTATAAGCAGGGAGATTGGAGCTGCTGTTAAAATGTGTATGTAGGTGTGTGTTTGTGTACGTTCAAGTCTGTGAGTGCCCATGGAAGCCAGAAGAGGGTACTGGGTACTTGGAGATAGAATTACGGGCAGTTGTGAGCTGCCTGACAGATGCTGGGAACCGAAATTGGTCCAGTGCAAGAGCAGCAAGTATTCTTAACGTCCTGAAGAAAGGGCTTCGGGGGAAGTTGGAGGGAGCATGCAGTGCCTTGTGACAGCAGACATGTGGCACTTCCTGTTCTGCCTGGGTATCCTCCCTAGGGCCTCCCCTACAGCCTGTGCAAGCCTCCTTTGCTTTTTCTTTGTTTTGTTCTTTAGAAAGTGTTTCAAGTAGATGAACTTTTTTTCTCCATTTTTGTTTGCTTGTAGGTAGGCATTCATTTCAGGAAAAAAGGGAATGAATCCTTTTTCCTATTGTGGCAAGCTAATTTTCAGAGGAAAGAATCCATTAGTAGAAAGCTGATCTCTGTAGTTTAAAGAAAGAAGCTGGTTTCATACTTCGTTGATTTTAAAGAACTGTTCTTTTTTTGGAGACAGAGTTTCTCTGTGCAGCCCTGGCTGTCCTGGAACTAGCTCTGTAGACCAGGCTGTCCTGGAACTCAAAGAGATCTGCCTTACACACACACACACACACACACACACACACACACACACACACACACAC